ACAAAATTTTATATTACATTTCATATTTTAGAAAATCATTAATTACCCGATACTGCACTAACTACACTCGTTCAGGTGCACAACTTTCTCTGTATAACTTACAATCAGTTTTTTTTAATAATTTATCATGGTTAAACAAAGCCCATGTGTATGCCGAAGAAGCTGCTTTTACCGTATCTTATTTCCGACGAAAAAGTCAACAATCTTAATAAATTGTAATATTTATAGAGTTTTATAAGCTGAAAAGACTGGTGATAACTGCGTACCAAAATTTCCATAAATAATTGAAATATTGAAATTTTATGATAGTTTAACACCGACGAAAAAGTCAACAATCTTAATAAATTGTAGTATTTATAGAGTTGTATAAGCTGAAAACACTGGTGATAACTGCATACCAAAATTTCCATAAACAATTGAAATATTGAAATTTTATGATGGTTTAAGGGAGTTAACTTCACAGCGGTTCATACCCACCATAAATTGCAATTTTAAAACCGGACAAATAGAAGACCAGTAAATCCGAGCGGTTCTTAGCTTCTCTTTTTCTGGTTAAACAACAGCGACGCATGCCAAGCCGGTGGGACACTCAGTGAGTGAACAGCTTAGTCAACCCCTCGTAATGGCATTGTAAAATTTTATTGTATACAAATGGACCGTTTTTAGTATACATAAAATTTGCAGAAATATTTCAGAGGACAGGTAAAGTAGTTTAAGAGCTATAAGGTTATATGACCATCATAAAAGTATTTGACCGTAAATAAACATCGCCTGTGTCGTTCGCACTAAGCTTACCAGTTGGCAATAAATCGTCTTCTAAACATTTCTTGCTTAGATTTAGGTATTTAGTGAAAGCTGCCCGTGAACGAAACGACAACAGCCGATCGCGCTGCAGTGGACACGATATTTACGACCCTAAAATCTTTTCTATTTTAAACAACATAACCTCGACACAATGAGATAATTTTATGATGGCCATATAACCTTATAGCTCGTGGACTACTGTAAATGTGATATACTTCTGGGAAACTAGTTTTCATGAGTTGGGTTGCAAAGATCAGGTTTGCCTTTGTGGGTACGTAGGTACTTTACAGTAGGGACGCACAAAGAGTGAACAATGGGTTTTCTGTTTATTACTATTCAGTAATCACAATCAGCAATAAACAGGTTTACGATTTGGTAATGATAATTTACAGGCCTGACCTCCTCTAGGATTCCTTGTCGGAAAGGAACAAAGGTTCTGTGGATCAAATGTGCACGAACAGATTTTAGATTATACACAATGGTCAACGACATCCGATTTGCAAAACAGTTGGTGATTTCGAACAAGTAACTCAAAGGCAGACAAGGGTCGTAAATCTTTAATTAGAATTCTAAGCAGTTTATATAACTTATTCCACTAAGCACAGTTGGAACCAGAAAGTCATTGTTCACTATGGAGGAGTCCCGACTATATAATTTAATTATACAACCTTCAAAAAAAGTACATTTTCAGTTTTGCTTCAGCCTTATATCGTTCGTGCTATTATTACTTAGTCATTTGTGTTTTACGTCGACAACAGAACTGTTCTTAAAAATAATCGTGTTCGCATAAAAACAAAGTAAGTAAGCATTACTTTTAATAAAAATAATAAAATACAGCAATGTTTTTCTTTGATAATCGTATACTTATATATTTCTACTTCGCTATAACCTCTTACGTTTCAGTTTAAAATGGGACGAATACAAAAAAATACGGATATAGAAAAATGAAACGCAATTTTAAGCGTTGCAAAACTATTTGCTAAAGGTAACCAAGTGGATTATTTATAAATTAACTTCGAAGTATTCAATAATATTAATGTTAGAAAAGTAAGTAGTAAATATTAATTCAAAGGCACACAACATTGCTGACGTAGTTGGTGCTGAACAGGAGGAAATGAGTGCTACATCAAGTCACAACGTTGGCAATACACCAATGTTTTTCAATGGTAAGTTTATAAAAACTTATTTAACAATCGATTCTACAAGATAACATTCTTAGATAGACGGAAACCGTGTGATAGACAAAATATTTTTTTGAAAGTCTGGTCACAATATGTGGTTATAGTACTTTGCAAAATCTAATAATAAAAAAAGAAATAAGAAAACAACTGGTTTCAAAATTGTCAGATGTGCCACGAAGAGCTGACCATTTACATACAAAAACCAGAGAGTGATTCAGATTTAAATGTTGAGAATTTTATAACATGGAAGAGACTTTTTCTGGTTTAAACATTTCGTCTATCGTCTGTGGCGTCTGGAACATACCAAAAATGGGATCAGGAAGTAGCTAAGAGATAGGAACAAATTTCAGCAAAAAAGCTACAGACAAGGAACCTAAGCAGGTTTGCTTTTAGCATAAAGTCTGTGGACGAACATGTTTATCCACTCTTTCCTATTGTGGTAAACGGATGTTGGCCTAAAAAAGTAGTACTAAAGTACTGTATATCGGTGTACGAAATAAATTTTGCTCATACTGCTACAGGGCCAAATCATACCAAGACAAATCACATATTTGTACAACAAATTTTGTTGGTAGTTCTAGTAGCATGGAATAATATATTAGTGCATGCAGTGTGGAATTACGCGGGATTAAATATTTTCAAATGGTAGGTAACGCTGCCAGTAGCACATACAAAAAAATTTTGGAATCACGTCCTTACAACACACGGTTGAAAAGGTGGAATGTCGTAACCACCTATTAAGAAATTTTTACACTAGATTAAAAAGCCTTGTCACAAATACTTGTTATACTCGTAATGAGAGAAAATTATTACAGGGGAAAAAGTTCGCTTATGCGCACTGATATTAACTGTACCCTCCATTACAGGAATGCAGATAAAAAACAAAACATGTTGTTTGTGATTATTAGAATTGCTTCGAAGGACCAAAGTGATAACAGTGCGACCGTTTTGGTTGGGATTTATTCCAGAACTTGTAACTACAAAATTCTTTACCGGTACCGACTAAATGGGGTGGGTGGGACACACCCCCACCTCTCACAACCCCAGGTACCTGCTAAAGATGATTGGATATGGAATTTCCAACACATATGCTACACTGTCTTTAAGAAAAGATATTTTAAATGTAGTGTACCATGTTTTTGGACAACCTGATAACTGTGGCAAATATTTTTGTAACCGTGAGCATGACTTAAATGAGATTAAATGAAATATCAGAACAGTTTTTAAACAATATAATGGACGTTTTTTATAATACTGCTAACCATTCCAGAAGTTTAATTTTTGATAGAGATAGCAGTGTGGTCGAACACTTTAATTCCGTTATTGCAAAGTTCGTCGGAGGAAAACGTATATAACTCGTATAAAGCAAGATCTGCAGCCACTGTTATGTCATATAGGTAACATCAAAATACCACATACAGCTTTCAGAAGTATAATACCAAGTGTACTAACTCTAAAATTGTCAGACGGATGGAAATCCGACGAATTAGGAAAGTCAGAAAAGATCGTTTGCGAAGACAAGTAGTTTTTCGCAACAATAATCATAATGATAAAACAGACAAAAAGGAGATGCCGATTATGATGAAAGTTGCCAAAATCCAGATTTGTCAGAAGAAATTTATAAGTTGAGGAAGGCCGAGTTCCTTAAAAATTTGACAAAAGTTGATAAAACAGAGAATGAAACACGTTTCCAGAGTAGTAGCGGTAAATGGTTGGAGGAGAGGAGAAAACTGCTAACGGCTTCAAATTTTGCAAGAGTATGTAAGAGAAAACAAAATTCCAATAGTGCCAAGTTCGTGGAAACATGGAAAAAATTATGAAGAAATAGCGAAAAGAGAAATGGTAACATTAAAGAATCTCAATGTTTGTATTAGACGAAGATAAAACAGTTGAAATAAAATGCCTCTATGCTGCTGATCATCTTGGATTGACGCCCGAACAAGTTCTTAATCGAAAAAAATTACATTCTGGAAAAGAAAAGAAGATGGTAAGTACTTACGCAATTAACGAAAGTCATGATTGGTACTACAAGGGCTACTTCATATAGCGGACAAAAAATAGTCTCTGCTAGGGGTTTGGATACAACCAAACAAATTAAAGGTAGAATCAATTTTTTGAAAAACATTCAATTTTGGGTAACAAAAATACAAAGTAGATTAAAAGACTTTTACCTGAAGTATTTATTACCAGAAATAATTGATTCTCGGCGGGACATTTATTTACAATATTTTTTTAAGCGACCTTACAAATTAGTGCTTTGATAACGTGTTTCTTCTTTTAAATTTTTTCTTCTTCCCTTGGTTGTAATTTTTGGAGAAATCATTTTTTCTCAGATTATATAACTGCGTTGAGAGATCTGGCTTTTGACAATTCTAATATATATTTCATTATGTTTACCCAAATAGAAACAAAATTAAAAGTACTTTTATATATTGACCCAAAATATAGAAAGTTACATTGAATATAATATAAAATCTTTTCTTATATTTAGTTGATAGAAGTTACAGTATATACACGCATCTGTATTTTTTGTCTCAATTTGTGATATGAATTTTGATAAATATTAAATTGAAAAAGAGAGAAGTAGGTAGGGTAAGCCAAATTGTCAAATATTTGATGTATAGAACGTATTGGTGTATTGGTCGCATTTGAAGGACAGTCTAAATCCTTTATACCAACTTTTATTATCTAATGCATTCAATTTATTAAGAGAATCGATACCATATATCCGGATCTTTAACGTTAACGGTGTTAAATCTATTTTATTTTTATTAGCAAGCAATGTTGTAAATTATCCTAATTATTATTATAACAGCCAGGGTTGGACGGTCAACAATCCTGACAGCTCTTCCGAGCCAAAGAATTTTACCGTTGCTTTTGCTGACGATCTTTTTACCGGTGTAATACTGGTTACCGATACCGGAATCTTAGATGCAATCGTATTTGTTGGTTGCATAACATTGATTTCCTCTTGTCAGCTGTCAAAAGATCCATTAATTTTTGACAAATGACAAACAGATGACCACTGACACGTCGTTGACATTTAATCACAAAAAAAAATAAAAATAAAAATTAGTGTTGTTTTAATTGAAATTGTGTATTTTTCGCTGAACTGGTACGTACATACAGCAATATATACAAAGTTTACTTCTTTTCTGTACCCAGAAATCTCAGTCGACGTCTGTTGGCATTTTAAAATTCTAACCAACGTGCACCCACGTAGCCGATTTTCTCAGCCAACAAACTAACGAAACTTTAAAATTATAGGTCAACTCCTCCACAATGACCACCATAGAACAGCCGTGTTACACCCTCATCAATGTTCCTACAGACACGGAACCATATAATGAAATGCAACTTAAAATGGATTTAGGTGAGTCAATTTACACTAAAATTCAACGTAACACCGTAATTCCAGAAAAAGGCGACGTCAAACAAAAAGTGGAAGCCCTTAAGAAAACAATCCATATGATACTTGCCGGAGAACGTCTACCACCAGGCCTCCTCATGACGATCATTCGATACGTGCTCCCTTTGCAGGATCACACCGCCAAAAAACTTCTTCTTATCTTCTGGGAAATAGTCCCTAAAACTTCTCCTGATGGCAAACTTCTCCAAGAAATGATCCTTGTTTGTGATGCATATCGCAAAGACTTGCAACACCCCAATGAGTTTTTAAGAGGATCAACGTTGCGATTTCTTTGTAAATTAAAAGAGCCAGAACTTCTAGAACCTCTAATGCCGTCAATTAGGGCTTGTTTGGAGCACAGACACTCGTACGTTAGACGCAACGCTGTACTTGCAATTTTTACAATTTATCGGAACTTTGAATTTTTGATACCTGATGCACCTGAACTAATTTCGAATTACTTGGATGGCGAACAGGACATGTCTTGCAAGCGAAACGCGTTTTTGATGTTATTACACGCCGATCAAGAAAGGGCGTTGTCATATCTAGCTAACTGTTTAGATCAGGTTAACACTTTTGGAGATATTCTTCAGTTGGTTATTGTTGAACTCATTTATAAAGTTTGCCACACTAACCCTTCAGAACGCTCAAGATTTATTCGCTGTATTTATAATTTATTGAATTCTAGTAGCCCTGCAGTAAGATATGAAGCTGCTGGTACTTTGGTGACACTTTCAAGTGCCCCAACAGCTATTAAAGCGGCTGCAAGCTGCTACATTGAACTTATAATAAAAGAGAGCGACAATAACGTTAAACTTATTGTTTTGGACCGGCTGATTGCTTTACGTGAACATCCCGCTCATGAAAGAGTCCTACAAGATCTAGTGATGGATATTTTGAGGGTTTTGACAAGCCCAGATTTGGAAGTACGCAAGAAAACGCTGGCTTTAGCTATGGACTTGGTGTCATCGCGAAATATCGAAGAGATGGTTCTAGTTTTAAAGAAAGAAGTGGCTAAAACTCACGATGTTGAGCACGAGGATACTGGAAAATACAGACAATTGTTAGTACGCACTTTACATTCTTGTTGCATCAAGTTTCCAGATGTCGCTGCTACTGTTATTCCTGTCTTGGTGGAGTTCTTATCAGATACGAATGAATTGGCGGCAGCAGATGTTCTTATTTTTGTTAGAGAGGCCATACAGAAATTTGATCACTTGCAACCACTCATAATTGAAGTAAATAATGTTGTATTTAATTTTTGATATTTATTTTTTGTGTGTCTTGCAGAAATTGTTGGAAGCGTTTTCCAACATAAAGTCAGTTAAGATTCACAGAGCAGCGCTCTGGATTTTGGGCGAATATGCAACCACAATCTCGGATGTACAGGCCGTTCTTAAAGAAATTAATTCAACGTTGGGGGAGGGGCCGTTATTAGAAGCTGAACAACGTCTTGTGGCTGGAGAAACTGATGACAGTACACAAAATAATCCTACACAACAACCGTCAAGCACTTTGGTTACTTCTGATGGTACTTATGCGACGCAGTCGGCTTTCAATACAGTGCAGTAAGTCACGTTTTCTTAAGTAAACTTAATCTTGTTATGATTTACACATCATAAAATTATGGAAAGAATATAAGATTTTCAGATTTGAATTTTTGATACTTTCAAGATATTAAGTCGTTATTTATTATCATATTTGCCATAGAACTTAAATATGACGCCAAATATATTTTTTCCAAAATACTTAATGCGAACTAAAATTAAAATTAAGATGTTGTTGGTAATTACTTTAAGGTTTGCAAGATTTTGATGAGTTTTTATTCAGATGTCATTGGTCTGCAAAAGACAATTTTTTTGAAAATTATAACTAAAAAATATAATAAGCATATTGAGTATTAAATTTTCTTTCCAAATGAATTGCAGTAGCTTCCATTTAGATAAAAACGTAAAATTTAAAAACTTATTTTAAAAAATCCTGCTTTAGGTAGGATTTTGCTTGTTTGTAATGTGGAAATAAAAAGATCAAGCGATTAGATATAGAAAGTTCGTATACCACAGTATTATCAATCAATCAACCAATAATTCTTTTTATCAGAAAATACTATTTGCGGAGGAATTTCAACAAAGCTGTTTTCTCCATTTTTCCTTGTCTAGAATCTTTTTTACTTCCCGAGTGTAAGCAAAGGAAGTATTGTAATCGAGTCCGTCGGCCGACTCTCTACTTTTACGTTTTCTCGATCTTTCATGACCCCTAGAATACGAAGAAATAGGTCTCCCATTTCCGTCTGTCTGTTCGTCTCAAATTTGCAATTTAATTTTGAATCTGCTAACCTGAATGTTTTGAAATGTTGCAGATGTTTTAAGGCTATAAAGAGCATCATAAATCTTTAGTCAAAATATATTTGGTTATCCCCTCCAAAAACTTGATGACGTCAGCTCAAAAGTTTGCCGAATAAATCATATCTAAAATGTACAAAATATGATGCATCTGTACTTATGATATATCACTCCATTCATATTTTTTGGATTTCCATATACAGGGTGACTCAAAAAAATTAATGAATGTGCAAAATTTATTTTACCGATTTACTCAGGAACTACAAAACCGAATGCTTTGAAATCTTGAAGATGTTTTAAAATTATCATAAGCATGGTAAATTTTTGATCAAAATGTATTTGGTCGTCCCTCCTAAAAAATTTATGACGTCACCACAAAATTTTGCTGAATAAATCCTATCTAAAATGTACAAAATATGGTGAGTCTCTTCTTGTGATTTATCATTCCATTCAATTTATTTTATTGATTTAATCAGGAATTACAGAACCGAATGCTGTGAAATTTTGGAGATATTTTAAAGTTATCATAAACATGGTAGATTTTTTATCAAAATTTATTTGCTCATCCCCCCCTAAAAAAATTGATGACGTCACCCTAAAATTTGGTAAATAAATCCTATCTAAAATGTGAAAAATATGATGAGTCTGTACTTGTGATTTATCATTCCATTAATATTTTTTCGATTTGCATATACAGGGTGACTGAAAAAAATTAATGAATGCGTGAATATATTTTAATTATTTTTTTATAGAAAAAAGGTTTCACCTTCTTAAAAAAAGACAGTTGGAAGCCCCAAGAAGATTTAATATTCTTATTATTAAAAAAAAAGATTGGGGCCCCCGAGAAGGTTTTACATTCGAAAAAACGTTTGGCGCCCCCGAGAAAGTTTTATATTTTTAAAAAAGACAATTGGGACCCCCGAGAAGGTTTCACGTTCTTAAAAAATACATTTGAGGCCCCCGAGAAGGTTTAATATAATGAGGACCCGGGTGGGTTAGGTAGCTTCGTGCTTGCCTACTACACCTTGGGTCGTGGGTTCGATTCCCGCCTGGCTCTGGGTGTTGTGTATGTCCCCCGTTCCCCTGTAATTGGGCCAGCGGGCCTGTAGGGGAACGTAATTCAATAAAATAAAAAATAAAAAAAATAAAAAATAAAAAAAAAAATATTAAAAAAAAAACAATTCGGACCCCCCGAGAAGGTTTCACATTCTTAAAAAAAATCACTTGGGGTCCTCGAGAAGCTTATACATTTTTAAGAAGACAGTTAGGACCCCCGAAAAGATTTCACATTCTTAAGAGACATTTGGCGCCCCCAAGAAGGTTTAACATTCTTGAAAAAATGCATTTGGGGCCCCCGAGAAGGTTTTATATTTTTAAAAAAGACAATTGGGACCCCCGAGAAGGTTTCACATTCTTGAAAAAATACATTTGGGGCCCCCAAGAAGGTTTAACATTCTTAAAAAAAAAAAAGATTGGCGCCCCCGAGAAGGTTTTATATTCGAAAAAACGTTTGGCGCCCCCGAGAAAGTTTTATATTTTTAAAAAAGACAATTGGGACCACCGAGAAGGTTTTACGTTCTTAAAAAATACATTTGAGGCCCCCGAGAAGGTTTTATATTAAAAAAAAAAACAATTCGGACCCCCCGAGAAGGTTTCACATTCTTAAAAAAAATCGCTTGGGGTCCTCGAGAAGCTTTTACATTTTTAAGAAGACAGTTAGGACCCTCGAAAAGATTTCACATTCTTAAAAAGAGACATTTGGCGCCCCCAAGAAGGTTTAACATTCTTGAAAAAATGAATTTGGGGCCCCCGAGAAGGTTTTACATTTTTAAAAAAGACAATTGGGACCCCCGAGAAGGTTTCACATTCTTGAAAAAATACATTTAGGGCCCCCGAGAAGCTTTTACATTTTTAAGAAGACAGTTATGACCCCCGAGAAGATTTCACATTCTTAAAAAGAGACATTTGGCGCTCCCAAGAAGGTTTAACATTCTTAAAAAAGAGATTCGCGCCCACGAGAAGGTTTTACATTTTTCAAAAAAAAGGCAGTTGGGGCCTCCAAGAAGGTTTCATATTCGAAAAAAAAATTTGGCGCCCCCGAGAACGTTTTACATTTTTAAAAAAGACAGTTGGAACCCCCGAGAAGGTTTTACATTTTTAAAAAAGATAACTGCGACCCCCGAGACGCTTTCACACTCTTAAAAAATACATTTGAGGCCCCCGAGAAGGTTTTATATTAAAAAAAAAACCAATTCGGACCCCCCGAGGTTTCACATTCTTAAAAAAAATTCACTTGGGGTCCCCGAGAACTTTTACATTTTTAAGAAGACAGTTAGGACCCCCGAAAACATTTCACATTCTTAAAAGGAGACATTTGGCGCCCCCAAGAAGGTTTAACATTCTTGAAAAAATACATTTAGGGCCCCCGAGAAGGTTTTACATTTTTAAAAAAGACAATTGGGACCCCCGAGAAGGTTTCACATGCTTAAAAAAATACATTTGAGGCCCCCGAGAAGGTTTTATATTAAAAAAGAAAAAAAACAATTCGGACCCCCCCCCCCCGGAGAAGGTTTCACATTCTTAAAAAAATTCATTTGGGATCGCCGAGAAGCTTTTACATTTTTAAGAAGACAGGACCCCCAAGAAGATTTCACATTCTTAAAAAGAGACATTTGGCGCCCCCGAGAAGGTTTAACATTCTTAAAAAAGAGATTGGCGCTCCCGGGAAAGTTTTACATTTTTAAATAAAGAAGGGCGTATTCTTACCTTTTCGAGAAAGTGGGTAATTTCATCAATAAAAAGAATGTTAGGACGTCATAAGAATAGATAATACACAATGCGAGAGAATAAATAATAGTTTAAAAAACTAAAAAAACACGCTTTTATTGCTAATCGAACTAAAAACTAGAAAATAATTTTTAATGACAGAGTTTAATATTACAGTAGTAGAAGATCAAACAATCAATCATAATAAATCACCTCAAATTAAAATTATAATAAAATTTAAGTTATTAACAGAATAATTCAATTCAGAGTAAAAAGCGTGGGGTGCTTGATATTTTAAATATTACAATCATTCTATTGGCAACTATCTATGAGAGGATAGTTATGAACCGCAGTAAAATGCACCCCACGCTTTTTACTCTGAATTGAATTATTCTGTTAATAACTTAAATTTTATTATAATTTTAATTTGAGGTGATTTATTATGATTGATTGTTTGATCTTCTACTACTGTAATATTAAACTCTGTCATTAAAAATTATTTTCTAGTTTTTAGTTCGATTAGCAATAAAAGCGTGTTTTTTTAGTTTTTTAAAGTATTATTTATTTTTCATTTTTTAGTCTGCGACAAATTCATAAATTGGGGAATTAATTACTTATTTAGATTTTTCTAGAAAGAACCACTGAGTGGTCTCCGTATGATCGATCAACGGGAATTAGTTCGAAATCAATCGCCCTCACGGACCAACGGGACACAATTCATCATTGTGGTTAGTTTTACGCCCCAAATAGTTAATTTTCCTCCATGTTTGTATTTCTGAATCAAAATTTGTTATCTTTATTTAAGTTGGTGAGAATTCATGATTAGATATGTTTTAATTATAATTAATTCCTTCTTTACCGACTGTAAAACCAAAGCTATGCAGAAATTGTCCTTGAAACAGAAATAATCGGTATAGATCGGTATAATCGACACGGAGAGAGATAACCGTGGTATATACTGACACAATTAAGATGCGATCAGCCATTTTATTTGCACACGTTTAGTTAATTAAAAGTCCGTTCTTGTTTTTTTCATTTAATATCCGTTATTTGTATTTTAATCAAGACTATAATTATTACAACGAAGAGTAAACCAGATACTACAGGCATGCGCAGATCGCGCGCTAGCTTTATCTCTTTTACTCCACTGCACAGGATCCATAAAAGAATTTATAAATCCTGGCGGTCCTAATAAGGATAATGGGAAACTGTTATCAAATTATTGCATTGTCATCGATCCTTGAGACGTGTGCAAAGTTTCAAGATGATCAGACTTTTAGAAACCGATGAAAATTAAGCTCAAAGATTCCGTTACATACATACATAGATACATACAACCCAAGCTAATAAAAGCGTGATAAAAAGAGAAAAAAAAAACGGAAAAAATAACGATATAATAATGCCAAGTTAGGAATCGAATGCGCGACGTCCGGTCCGCATTCCTGACTCGTAACCACTAGACCACGACCGGGATGCCTTACGCTAATGATGAACTGTTATTGTACCCTGCATTATGCTTTTGCAAAAATTTTGACGGTTAGAGAAAAACTCAAAGCGGATTCGTACACCACACTTATACATTGTAAATGCTTCTAATATACATACAAAATTTGACAAAATGGGTCCAGCAGTTTCGGAGATTACGTGTCTAATAAAAATGGATACAGACACCAGGCAGACAAACAGATAGACAGACGGAAACGGGAGACTACTTTTTTCGTACTCTTGGAGTTATGAAACGTCGAGAAAATATAAAAGTGGCCATTCGTCCGATGGACTTAATTACAATACTTTCTTAGCTTACGCTTGGAAAGTAAAAATCATAAAATAACTCAAGGACTAACCCCCTGAATTTTTGCCGCATATTTGATAAACAGCTTGTATTATTTATTATTATTATGTAGGAACTTTAAATTTCTTATCTAGGTAGGCTGCTATTGTAAAAACGTATGCGAAAATTGGTGTTATGAAGTTTTTTATTCCAAAGCCGACCTAGATTCGAGATTTAAAGAATCACACATTAGTTTATGTACATCACTTTCCCAGAATTCATTTACGTTTATGAAAATATATATTTGTCAGTCTGAACGTCAGAACATAGTTTATTTAAATTTATTTGAGATTCTAAATAATCTCATATCTTTCAAGTATGAGTTAAAAACAGTCATTTGCATAGAAGGAAGTGTTATGATAAAAAATTCGTGAAATTTTTCGCTAACATTAATATTATTAAGTTCCAGTTTGTATCTGGAATGATATTAGACAGATCAAAGGCATTTATTTTGTTTCTAAAATTACTCATTCAAGTATATGTGTTTACTTTTTACTGCATTAGTCCATTTGACGATGACTAATTTCATGTTTCTTCGACGTTTTATAACCCGTTGATCCGTAGAATGTGAAAAAGTAGATATCAATTTTTCTGACATCTAGTATACTGTTGTGAAATTTTAGATGTTGTTTAAGAATATCGTATAGATGGTAAAACTCAAACTAAAATTTGTCTATCCATCACCATTTTTTAACTTTAGACCAATTTTTACTTCCCGATCATAAACTAAGAAAGTGTTGTAATAGGGTTTTGTTGTCAAATTTTATAAGGAATATCGTGTAGATGCTAAAACGCTAACCAAAATTTAGCTTGGCAAACACTATTTAAATTTTATAAAATAATGTTATTTTTGTTGTTGTGGTTTATAAATCCGCCTTAAATTTTTATCCAAGGCTTCTAAATTCCCTAATTTAACATTTCTGGAGAATGTTTTATGTAACGAGTTGAAAAAATTTATAAACCATGTATAATCACCTCGGAAATGTTCTGATCACTGATGTATGTAGAATCAGCGTACAAAAATTAATATATGTAGTTTGTATAGTAGCCAAAAAAGAACAAATGTCAAAAATAAATTGCAACAAATGGAGTAACTAATTTTCAGAATTTTTACATTCTTCCAATGATTAAACATTCTGAAAACTAAAAATCTTCAGCTGAACACGATATATGAACTACTGAGAATTCCCAAAAACGTACAAATCTCTTTTTTTTCAGAAAAAGTAAAAAAGAAAAGCGACCACCACTACGGCAGTATTTAATCGATGGCGACTTCTTCATTGGGGCATCAATCGCGTCGACTTTAACAAAACTCGCCCTACGATATGGAAAATTGGTAAAACCCACTGAACAAAATCGCTTTGATGCAGAAGTTATGTTAATCATGGCTGGAATAATTCACTTGGGAAAATCCGGTATGTATATCTTTGAAGGATAATTTACTCGCTCTAGAGCAAAGATCGTTTTGAGCGAAAAACACACTCAGAACGCTGCTTATTAATTTTAGTCTTGTAACATTTCCTAAAGCTTTCACCACCACCGTAACTCCAAAATCGACTATATGTGTCTTTGACACGATCTACTTGGCATCAGTTGGCGGATATCTCGTATTTTTAGTTTTTGAGATATTTCCACTCAAATATGTGACAAAAAATAAAATATACCACAAAACAATCTAAAATTAATCATGAAATGTACCTTGTTTTTTTCGAACTAGCGTCATTTTCGAGAAAAAAAATCCAGCAAGAGTTAAAATGTACGTGTAGGAAAAATAGAATTTGGAAATTGTTGCGAGATGATTTTAATACATTAAAATCTGAAATGTCCAAGAAACAAACTTCTTATTTGTGATTCTTATCCTTTAAAAAATGGTATAGTGTAGCATTTGCTTTTTTAATATTTTAATGTAATAATATATTGAATAGTGTCCAGCAGTTAATATAAATCACTGTTCGCGATGATATATTATTATTCTTTTAACGAAATTATTGCAACAAATTTAGTGACAATAAATTCAGAAGGCATTATTTAAAACTACATCAGATAATAAAGATAAATTCTCATAGTAAAACTAAAATGAACAGCTCACCTTAAGTGTAACATTAATAGTCAGGTAGGTAGTTTGACCTCTTTGAAGAGTTTTAAAAATAAACAGTTAAATGAAGTTGTTTACAATGAGTTCTCAAATAGTAGTTTTGTTCCAATAATTTAGGTCTGACTAAGCGTTGTTTCTATTGTTTCTCATAGACCCACATATTTGACTACATTTTTCGAAACATTTAAAAAAACAATTTGAGGTTATATTTTTAAGTTAAAAAAAACACCAAGTAATCTGCTCTAGGCAACTCGGTTGCGAACCAACTAACATTCTTTACTAAATAATGGAAACGTGTTCTAAATTTTAGTGGTCTATCTTCTTTAAATGTAAATACCTCAAAAAATATTAAGGTAATTTATATTAAATGTTTGTAGGATTACGAAAACATGTTTGTTGGCAAGTACTGCTCAAAAATGTAAAAAAATGTCACGAACAAATGAAGGACGTCAATAGCACAGTTAAGATATTAGTTTATACTCAGAACACTATTTTTATATCCAATAAAATTTTATAACTTGATTATGAGGGGTTGGACACCAGAATAGCTGAGTTTGTAACGATTGTAAACTTTTGCCGGTTACGCTTTTCTTGTACATGATACGGGTTCTAGATGTGTGTTGCTGGGACGGGGTTCCACCTGCTACTGGTCTGCTGTCATTTAGGGTCTTTGCACAGTTGTTGGCGTTTTTAATTTCACTGAGTAATTAACAACATTGTAGGCGACAAAAATAACGTTCTGACTATATACTTAGTTCAGTATGCAGTTTTTACAGCTACTACATTCTAGGCGTTTTAAACTCTTTAAACTCAATTGTTCATTCTGCAATTTTTTTTTGTTTGATAAAACATACTTACTAAAATAAGCAATTGAAGTGGAGTCCAACAAATCCCGTAGAACCAACGGGAAATAATGTTTTCCGGAAAATTGAAAATCTGAAAATCGAAATATCGGAGAAATCAAACAATCAAAAAATTGAAAATCGAAAAGTCCAAACATTTTAAAAATCAAACGACGATCGAATAAAAAAAATTGATAAATCGAGAAATCAAAAAATCCAAAATTCGAAAAATTGAAAAAAAATACGGAAACATCGAAGAATTGAATTGAAAATCTGAAAAATCGAGAAATCTAGAAGTTCGAGAAATCGAAACATTGAAAAGTCGCAAAATCGAGACATGGGAAAATCAAAAGATGGAAAATCCGAATTGCCTAAAAAACTAAAAATCCAATAATCGAAAAATCAAGACATCTAAAATTGAATTGATAATCGAAAAATGAAGAATAAAAAAACTGAAAAATCCCAAAACTGAAATATCGAAAAATTGAGAAATGCAAAAACTGAAAAATCGAAAATTTAAAAATTGAAAAATTCCGAAACCGAAATAATGAAAATTGGGAAATCGAAAAATTGAAAAATCGGAACATCCAAAAATTGACTAAAACATCGAGAATTGGAAAAATCGAAAAGTTTAAAATTTAAAAATGGAAAAATGGAACATTAAAAAGAAAACCGAAGTCTCAAGGAATCGAAAAATTGAACAATTGAAAAATTTAAAAACTGTAAAATAGAAAAATCGGAAATTAAAACTCTTTAAACATTTGAAAAACAAAAATATCGAAGAACTGAAAATTCGACAAATCTAAAATTCTAAAAATTGGAAAATTGAAGAATCGAAAAATTGAATGAATTAAAAAATCTGAAATTCAAAAATCAAAAAATTGAAAAAATTGAAAAAACCCGAAAACTGAAACATCGAAGAATTGAATTGAAAATCTGAAAAATCGGGAAACGGAAACATTGAAAAGTCGCGAAATCGAAAAATAAGAAAATCAAAAGGTGGAAAATCCGAATTGCCTAAAAATCTAAAAATCCAATAGTCGAGAAATCAAGAAATCTAAAATTTGAAGAATCGAAAAATGAAGAATAAAAAAACTGAAAAATCCCAAAACTGAAATATGGAAAAATTGAGAAATGGAAAAACTGAAAAATCCAAAATTTAAAAATTGAAAAATCGGAACATCGAAAAACTAAAACATCGAGAATTGGAAAAATCGAAAAATTGAGAAATCCAAAATTTAAAAATTTAAAAATGGAAAAATTTAAAATTAAAAAGAAAACCGAAATCTCAAGAAATCGAAAAATCGAACAATTGAAAAATTTAAAAACTGGAAAATAGAAAAACCGGAAATTAAAAATTTTTAAAAATTTGAAAAACAAAAATACCGAAGAACTCAAATTTCTCCAAATCGACAATTCTAAAATTTAAAAAATTGGAAAATTAAAATATCGTAAAATTCAAGATTCGAAAAATTGAAAAAAACCCGAAAACTGAAACATCGAAGAATTGAATTGAAAATCTGAAAAATCGGGAAACCGAAACATTGAAAAGTCGCAAAATCGAGAAATAGGAAAATCAAAAGGTGGAAAATCCGAATTGCCTAAAAATCTAAAAATCCAATAATCGAGAATGAAATAAAAAAATCTAAAATTTGAAGAATCGAAAAATGAAGAATAAAAAAACTGAAAAATCCCAAAACTGAAATATCGAAAAATTGGGAAATCGAAAAATTGAAAAATCGGAACATCGAAAAATTTAAAAACTAAAACATCGAGAATTGACAGAACCAAAATCTCAAGAAATCGAAAAATTGAACAATAATAAAAAATTAAGACTGGAAAATAGAAAAATCGGAAATTAAATTTTTTTAAAAATTTGAAAAACGAAAATACCGAAGAACTCAAAATTCTACAAATGGACAAATCTAAAATTTAAAAAACTGAAAAATTAAAATATCGTAAAATTGAAGAATCGAAAAATTGGAAAATGGAGATATTGAAACAAAAATCAAAAATTGGAGAATCGGAAAAACCCAAAACTGAAACATCGAAAAATTGAATTGAAAATCTGAAAAATCGAAAAATCTAGAAGTTCGAGCAATCGAAACATTGAAAAGTCGCGAAGTCGAGAAATGGGAAAATCAAAAGATCGAAAATCCGAATTGTCTCAAAATCGAAAAATCTGAAATTTGAGAAATCAAAAAACGGAAAAATCAAGAAATCGAAAATCAATTTCTAGGATAAAAATGCAGCAAGGTTTTATAATACCACATGTTCAGAACTACGTTGATATTTAACATTTATTCGACAAAATTGTAAGATGATATCATCAATTGGGAGGTGGGGGGGGGTCATGAACAGATAAATTTTGATTAACTATTTACTATGCTTCCGATAACCTTAAAATATTTGTTAAACTGCAAAATGTTGTCATATAATTTTGATTTTTTTTCCAAAAATCTGAATGCCGCAGATAAAACGCAACACGGAATCATAAAACACAAATGGAGAAGTAAGTTATTTTATAGAATTGAAATAACAGTTACTATTGTTGTAAAATTTGACAACAATCGGTCCGGAGTTTCGGAAATTATTTGTCTGTTAAAAATTCGGAGAGACGGCAGGCGGAAGCGGGAGGCCACTTTTTTCGTAGGGGTCATGACACATCGAGAAATTATGAAAGAAGTTAAGCTAAGTTTAACTTTTTCCTAGAGAGTCTTTTATAGACAAGCAGTAGGCCCGCCCACCCACCCCCTCTTCATTCGGTGACTACTCTCAATACTGTTAATTAAAAACAAATCAATTGTTATTTTCCTTCTATAAATTATTCGATCTACACATTATATTTCAAAGGTTTTTTCTTTGTTTATAGTGATAGTGATGTTTTATTCGCTATATTATAATTATATAAAACGTAGAGTAATAGCACATCAGATAAAAATACAGAAAATAGAATGTGTAGTAAGGAAAATATAAAATATGAACGTAAATAATCTAAACCAACCAACATTTTGGACAGTTTGTTATTAATTTTTAAATTCTTTAAATTTAAACTGTAAATTTTTTCTTTTAAAAAATACATTTCGTCTTCTTTCAGTAGCAATAAATTTTGGTAGGACTTTCCTAAATACTCGATTTATAAATTGTTTATCAGTGCATACCGAATTTTGAATCTTGATATTTTTTCAGTAGTTGTGTTTTCTGGATTGATAATTTTAAATGGAGCTTTATGTTTGAAATCTTGAGCTTTAAAATGTTTAGGTACAGCGTTCTCTTTCAACTTTAAATCGTAGAGGAAGTCTTCTTGATCAAAATGTACGTTAAAGTATAATTTTAAAGATACATAAAAAATGATTTTACAAAATAAGTACTTCACAAATTTTGAAAGTAGAACCGATTTTGCAATACACTTCCAATGGACTCGATTACAATACTTCCTTAACTTACGCTCGGGAAGTAAAAAAAGTGAAATATAAAAATGTAGTGTTAAAATGTAAACAACATTTTATTTAACATCTTATTAAAAAGAACTGAGACGGCGTCATTAACTTTCTAAAGGGAATGAATAAATACATTTCAAACTATTAAGTTAGTGTCAGTATCTTATTAAAAAAATTGCTTGATACATCATTTTTTTACGATAACCCGTATCTTTAAAAATGTGGATGTCTTATTAAAAGACAAGTACAAAAACAAATGAAGATTTACTTATAGAATTGTGAGGTAACGTCATCAAGTTTTTGAAGCGAATAAGTTGTTATTAGTGATTCCTGATAATCTTAAAACTTGTGTAAAATTGCAAATTCTAATGAAGTAATAAATTTTAAATTCTACATCAAAAATATGATATGCAAAGGGTTGAAAATAGGGGTGTATTAATAAATCACAAATGTACAAGTGTATTAACTTTACAAATTTTAAATAGCAAATTTTTGATATGAGGTGATAGTTTCGGAAATTATCTGCCCAATAAAATCACCAATAGGCAGAGGGAAACGGGAGGTATACTTTTTCATATTCTAGAGGTTATGACATGTCGAGAAAACATGAAGTTTGGCTATTCACTAAATGAACCTTATAACAAACTTCCCCAGGTTATAACCTTTAGAACTAAAAATGATAACATCTTCATTACACTTCAATTTTTGCTTCAAAGGTATCCCAACTAAAGCCATCACCAACGACGACAAGGACCACATCCTCTTCTGCCTCCGCGTCCTCTCCGACCGCTCTCCTTCCATCATAAAAATCTTCATGGACTTGTGCAGACTAGCCCTAAGCGACATGCTAGTAGCGAAAGAACTCGAAGAAGCCCTCAACCAAAAAGCAAAAGAGAAAGCAGGAAACGTCATCCAAGCCGACGACCCCATCAACTTCATGCAACTACAAGCCGACAAATCGGGCGAACTCGGCGAAAACGTCTTCGAAACGTCCCTATCCCAAGCCTTGGTGGGTGGCAGAACTGGCGGCACCGACACCAGCACCAGCGTGAACAAACTTAATAAAGTCACCCAGTTGACTGGCTTTTCGGATCCGGTGTACGCCGAAGCGTACGTCCACGTCAACCAATACGATATAGTTTTGGACGTTTTGATTGTTAATCAGACGAACGACACTTTGCAGAATTGCACTCTGGAGTTGGCCACGTTGGGTGACTTGAAGTTGGTGGAGAAGCCACAACCAGTGGTTTTAGCTCCGAAGGATTTCTGCAACATTAAGGCGAATGTGAAGGTCGCATCGACGGAAAACGGGATCATTTTCGGGAATATCGTGTACGACGTGACGGGGGCGGCGTCTGATAGGAATGTGGTGGTCTTGGATGACATCCACATTGATATTATGGATTATATAGTGCCTGCGACTTGCAGCGACACGGAGTTCAGGCAGATGTGGGCCGAGTTTGAGTGGGAGAATAAGGTTTCGGTCAATACTACGTTGACAGATTTATCTGACTATTTGAAACATTTAGTTAAAAGTACGAATATGAAGTGTCTGACTCCGGAGAAAGCTCTGTCGGGGCAGTGTGGCTTCATGGCTGCCAATATGTACGCGAAGTCTATATTTGGAGAGGATGCTCTTGCCAATTTGAGTATTGAGAAGCCTTTTAACAAGCCAGAGGCTCCGGTTACAGGACATATACGGATCAGAGCAAAGAGTCAGGTAAGTTTCCACTCATTTGTGCGAAAGTGGGTCCTACTTTGACCGTTTTAGGGAATGGCACTCAGTTTGGGCGACAAAATCAACATGACCCAAAAAGGACAACATAATAAAGTAATTGCTGCGTAAGTTTTAATTAGTATTCCTAACTTTGTATAATCAGAGGTTATTAAAGAAAATCTTCTAAGTACCAGCTTTTATTTCTCCTCGCGCCTGAATAAAAGACGACCGTCTTGTAATGATATTTATATGATTACAAATACAGTTTTATTATTATTATAATTAAAAATTAAGACGATGGAAATGAAAATAAAATAAGATTTAAACAATACCATCACGGAAACAGTTTTGGCAAAGCGAATGATGGTAACATTATGTTATAACATGTTGGTAGTCTAATCCAGGAAGTTCTCAATTTATTCCTCTTCCTCCTCATCTTCTTCCTCTTCCTCTTCTACCTCAACTTCCTCCTCTTCCTCTTCTTCCTCTGGTTCAGGTTCGAATGTAGGCTCCTTGATATCTTCATCGTCATCAGCAGTTGGTTTGCCTTCTTCCTCACCTTCAGGGGTTTCAGGTTCTCCCTTCTTCTTGCCTGGTCGTTCGCCGAACCATTTAGGAAGCTTGGCTGTAAAACACAAAATAAGTATCTGCTTACACTTGTTCACGCGGTGGAATAGGGAGTTCGGGCGTTTACCCGTACATGCACGAAACTGCAGTGTTCCACCGTGTGAACAGAACCGTCAGACAAGAGCGCGGAAGCTACGAAGGTTAGGTACATAGAGTGTATGCTTACATTTTTGTCTAGAATCGAATTGGCCAATTTTGTCTTTCCAGAGTTTTTCATTCAGATCCTTGATATTTTCTTCAATACCCTGTTAAAACGTAGACAATGAACAGCACAACAAACATGAGACAATAGACAAGTTTGATTAGAAAAAGGACACGTTACACGTTACAGTACGCAGGAGGGCAACGTGCACAGAACACGTACATTGCCCACTTACTTTTTGACCTACTCGAGTACTCTTCATACTTTTCTTTCCAGACTTTTTCACTATGTTCCAGTAAAAGGTGATCAAAACCCTAAATAGAACGCAAATTTAATCGCTAATGAAATAGTGAAACCGGTCCTTTTTAACATTTGCTCTTAATATCGTTTTTACTTACACCTTCAAACAGTTTCTTCTTGTCATCGTACGATCTGGTGTCCACGCGACGTTCATATTTTGAGGCTACTTGGATCTTGGGCTGCAAAAACCCGCAATGAAAAGAAATTCGTAAATTTTGAACAACAACTTACAGGGTATTTGCCAGTGAGGGCTTCAGGGTCCAGACCCTTCTTCAAGGCTTTGTGTCTGAGTTGTTGCTTCTGTCTTTCTTTCAATTCTTTAAGCTGTTAAGGAAACGAAATCAGTTTGTTTTTCAACTTAGAAACAGTGTCCTTACATCGTAATCCTGGCGTTTCTGCCTTTCTTCTAAATCGTACTTTTCTGTCTCCAACTTAACGATGCACTCCCAGAGCTCCTGAGCCTTGTCACGCAGTTTATCTACGCTGAGACCATCGAGAACCAAAGGCTTGATACGAATAGACAAAGAAATCTTCTTTTCTTCCTCCAGCTGCTCTTTGGTCTTGTTCCTCTCCAGTTGCGCTGCGGTGAGGTTTTGCTGCAAAACTCCCCGTAATCTTTTCTCCTTCTCAAAACCCGTGTCTTACCGAAGGATCCCTCTTGGTGATGGTGAAGTTGGGTCCTTTGTTCTTGTTCTGGTCTTTCAAAGCCTGCATCATGGCCTGGCGTTTCTTCTCAGCTTCCTCAAGACGTTGCCTCTTTTCTTCAATGTCGCGCTGTTTCTTCTCTTCAATTTCACGGACACGACGTTCCTCTTCTTGCTTCTTGCGCTCAGCCATTTTCCTTTCTTCATCGGCACGGGTGACTTTGCGCTTGGCTTGTTTCTCCTTCAACTTTTTGAGTTCGTCTTCTTCCTTGGCACGCTGTTTGCGCCATTCTGTGATGTATTCACGAAGCTGTTCATCCAAGTCGGATCTTTTTTGATCTTGACGTTTGATGAATTCTGGATCGCCGGCTCCTTCCCTAGTAGCCGAAATAAGTCAGTTTTTGGTTTTGGGACTGAGAAAAAGGCTTAGCCCATTTGCTGAGCGGCGAAAATAAGAGATTATGAAATATTACGTACATTGTGTACCATTAACAAAAAGTGGAGTCAGTGTTGTATTAGTCTGATACAACCGGGTGCAAAATTTCCTTCAAAAAGTATATTCGTTTGTCTGGATTCAAAACTTGTAAACTAGTGGTAAGAATTAAAAATTGTAACGAGAAAAATCTAAAAAAATTATACTTTGTTTATAAAGCTTTTTTATGTGTGCAGTTTTAGATTTACTAGGGTAAACAATTGAAATTAGCCCACCACAAATAAAAACTTTCTATGAAAATTTAAGTATATTAAAGACAAAAAAAACTGATGATCTTAGAACAGAAAGGGTAATCTAGACATGTATCAAAATCATGATGGATTGATAATAAATGTTATTTCGGCTGATTTCCTTCACCCAGACTAGTTACAAAACTGACCATTGTTTTTGCTCGTTTGTAAACACATTATTGGAAGCTCAGTAAGTAATAGGCTAAAGTTTCTGGCTAGTCTAGATGTGTAAGTACATACACAAAAAAGTTAAAAAGTAAAAAATATAAGAAAAAGGCTCGTATTAACTCTTAGCGCATCAGAAATAAGCTGAAAAAAAAAATAAGAATTGTTAAGTTGCCTATTGGTTCCTCCGTTGAGTGGTCTTCGTAACCTAATAGTAGTATTGCATCAGAAAAATACGAACACAATGCGAAGTTTGACGAAGCCAATCCAAGCTTAAAACGAGTTAATCCTGTTGTTGCACTTTACTTTTTGTACATAAACAATCGAGTCGTGGTTTTGAGTCCTAGAGGCGTACTCTAGTTTATGTATAAAAAGTAAGCTGAGCTGGAAAGCCATGTTGCCACTGTTACGGAATATGGACTTACTCGACTTTGGTGGTTGTAGTTGTAGTTGTCCTGTGGGGTACACATCACAAAGGCAGGGGCGTGAGTGGAAAGGAAAGAAAAATTACAAAATAAAAACTGTTTTAAACTAAATACTGTAAAAATAACAATTTGGAAAACTCTCTAATACTACTTCTCAGAAAGGAAATACTGGAGACTATTTTCTACCAAACATTACGATTTTCTACCAGGAAGGGTTACTTACTTTCTGCAAAAAAAGAAGGTTTATTATTAGAATGGTAATAGGTAACTACGACTATTAGACTAATACGAAATTAGACTAACAATTCCTACAACGCACGGTTTTGAATGTGCGTTTTTTTTTTCAAGTTAAACAAAAGTACTTACGTTTCAACGACTTCCTCCTCCTCTTCCTCTTCGCTAAAATTTTTAATAAAAAATTATAACCCGATTCGAATATTTGCGCCTCTAATAGCCACAAAGCCCAACGAGAAAAGAAAAAAAGAAAAAGAAAATAAAGAGCAAAAGCACCTAATTTGCGTTGAGTTCCTAATTAGTACTTACGAATAAACTTCTTCGTCGTCAGACATGGTTAAAGGCGGTTAGGAAAAAACTCTGAAAAAAAAAATTGCGCCTTACTATGGCGATGACTAGATGATCTGTGGTGAAAGCCAACCACGGCAAGTAAAAATATCGAGTATTGCTTAATGTTCTCGAAACTTGGACAGAAAACAATTGGTTATATTTAGACATCGAACGAAGATCTGTGCATAGTTCCAAGAATTTTTGTGAACTGGTGTAACTGTTATTTAATTTCGGCACCTACTACGAGTGGCTTTGTAAAGTTAATTTTGTATCAAGTATTAAACAAGCTAATTAAAAATTTTAAATTCATCTCATTCTTTATAAACTTATTTGCGAATATTAATAAAAAGTCACTAAACCTAAACCTAAATTCGATCATTTTATTTATGATTTAAGTGATCGGAATTTGATAATAATCGATCACTGATGTAATGTGTGTGGATTTTATAACCCTGTAATCCTGTGATGAACTGAAAAGTACACCACGCTTAGCGTGGCTGTATTTGGCATCGGGAGTTGCCAGAGTTATTCTTGGATCAAACGTCTGTTACAGCTCCCAAAATAATCTTAACATAAATTGAAAAACTCAAAAAAATTTAAACAAAATAACTTCCCCGCAAAATATGTTTGCATAATTTTTGCAATAACTCAAATGTTACAACTATTTCAAAAATCTGAAAATAGAATATGTTATACATGACCTACTTCATGGCCAGTGCACGTAACTTATAATTAGAACTGGCCGATTTCTGCTATATTTCGCATGTAATTAATTTGCTACGAGTAAAAAAATTACACACTATTAAAAAAGGCTATAAAAAAATTAATGCTACCGCAAAGCTTTTTTTAATTTTTTTTTTTTTTAATTAAGGGTAAGTTTTTGCGATTAGTATGATTTTTGGAAAACTACTGGCCATAATGAGGTTCATGGTCTTTCAGCAACAGGTTGCCGATAGCAAAAGGATGACACTTACACCAAGTAGATGACAAAAACCGGTCCAGGAGCACCACACAACTCAGGGAGCCCGCAGTGACTGTCTTGTCCCCAGGTCAGCTCTACGGAGAAGATTTTCCCTTTGCGCGCGCACTACACCCACACTAAAGCGACTTTTTATTTAGAAAAGACACATTTTAAGTTCTCAATGAAAATATTCAGTCAGTTTACATGTAACTGATATCGCTTTTGTTAATCTTTATTTACCACTGTTGTGGGATGCAGTGTCGACTTTTTAAAAAAAGTCCACTTTTCGCACAAAAAATAAGGAACGTTATTTTAAGTTAAGTTTAGACGTTTTGAAATAAACATCGGGTGAAATATTTCCAGCTTATGTTACCCGACAGACGGATTAAAGAAAATTCGATTCCCTCCAAAAACTTGGCTGCTTTTATTTTTGTCATACATCACCGTATTTAAGCGAGCTGTTTCAAAATTAGTAGCTGCACCTAAACATTAATTTGGCGTAACGTAATCAAGCAATTTATATTGGATTTCATAATCTTTGAAAAACATTCCCAGTTGTTTTTTCTAGTGCCAAGTAATCAAAGAATTTTTGGACGCTACGCTGCATTTCGTGTTAATAATGTTCTTCATTTTTGGAACTTCACACGTGATTTTTTTTCACCCTCTTCGTTGCAAGTTCCTTCGTTTTCCTGCATCCTCCGTCTCTGCGCTCCCCTTATAAGGACCGGGCTTACACCACGCAACAGCGAGTAGGGCAGCGCGCAGTCTATTCTTGTTACTCTCCCACCATCAGGAAATCCGAATATAAATGAGAAAACACATCCTTCGTAATTTTTCCCTTTAACGACCGTTTTATTGATATTTGCAAATTCGCCAGGGGGTAGTGTACAATAAAAAAACATCATAACAACTATATTTTATTAAAAATGTACATTTATAGTAGTAGGTACAGCGTTAATAGAAAAATAAATATTTTAAAACAACTACTTATTACAAGTAACGGTCATGGCGTAGGTCCGAGCTACTGTCCATAGATTTGTTATGTAATATGCAACAGTGGGATTTGTCTCTAATGATAAAATTTACATTTTAACCAAACTTAACTAGAAATATTCTTAGACACTAGGAAATCCAGTTAGGCGTCATTTTTGTGCTCGAAGAATCATTATTGCACGTGATTTAAGTAAGTACTTAAGTGATTTTTGTCTTTCGTTTAGTCCTAAGTACGAAGGCGAAACAGGATTGCTCTACTTTAGTGTTTTAGTAGCATATAACAAAATTTAGCTTCCTAATGTACAAAAATAGTATTTAAATTCAACCTAATTTTTTAAATTTTCTACTAGCCTGTGGTAAGGAGGGCTTCTATTCCCATTGACCATACCAGCGTGTTATCAGTACAAATCGTAACTTTAGACGATACTTCATCATAAGTATTAGATGTACTAACTAATCCACCGAACTCCAATTTTGATTGATCTGAAAACGAGAAAAATACGCGTGAATGTGACAAAAAAAACAAGAATATTTATTATTCCATAGAACTGTCGCAGTGATCTACTATCGGAAGATTATGCAACTTTAGTTAATAGCAGTTTTATAAATTAGTCTAAAACTTAAACAGTACTTCTCTCATCTTGTGAATACCCTATGCATGTTAGGGAGTATTTTTTTATGAAGATTTATCCGAACAATATTTTTTAAAACTTTATATTATGGAATTCATCAACTTTTTTGTTTAAAGTTTAATGTAATTTTCACGTCCATAACAGGAAATATAAAGAGTTTCACAACTTTTTTTTTATTTTTCTGAGATTCCACAATGTTTTCAAAAAGTGACGTACTAGTAACAATCAGATCTCTTGATACACTACACGAACACAACACCCCCACAATACCGAAAATATTTCACCAATTATACAGTTGAATGTTGAAAACAATATTATTATTATTGCTGAATTTACATTTAATTACCTGCTTCAACTCATTGTGCTAAAACTTGGTAAGCTTCTGATGACTCATTTTCAGGCGAACTTTATCAATAAATCAAGTTTTACATCAAAAATTCAATAGTTTTCATTACTCGAACCAAAAAAATTGGTCTAAAGCTATTTAATTTTTTTGATGAACAATAAAATAAAAAAAGTGGATACCAGTCACGTTGCGAACTGGATACGTTAATCGTTACGCCACCGGAGATTGGTAAGCCGTCCGGTTATATTGGTATAAAAGGTTGTTATTCACTTTTGATTTTTTTAGCGAAAATGTGGATGCCTGGGGTGATAATCAAGGAGGATCCATAAACACCAAGTTTGTTATTTTATGAAATTTAAATAACATTTACCATGCAAAATTTTGAAGTGGCGTCATCAAATTGTTGGTAGGGATGATCAGACAAATTTTGGTTAACGTTCTACTATCTACACGATACTCCTGCAGTACCTGCAAAATTTGACGCCAATCACTAGGTTTTTCACCCACATTCTATTTTTGAAATTCCTATGCGACGTTGCCACGTTGCTCCAATTTTCTTGAAATTTTTAGCAATGGAAGGTTCACGAAAAAAATCACTTTAGGGTTATTTTAAAAACTATTACAGTTTACAAATATCAATATTTCAGTATTTTCAAATGGAACACTCGTATTTTATTATGAACCTTACTCTGGTTGTTCTTTCTTTTTTGTTACGTGTTGTCTATATTTAAAGTTGATAGTTACTGCGATTTTTACTTTTTAAGTGACACATCAACATATTGGATAAATGAGAATAAAAAAATTGAGTAAGATAATAAAATACCGAGTGTTCTATTTGAAAAAAGTGAAATATCGATATTTGAAAATTGAAAGTTTTAGAATTTTTTTATCTCATTTGGACTCTGTTTACACATTGATTAGAATATTTAACTTCAGGACCAATAAAATTTTACTGGCGACAAAAAAAATGAAGAATACAAGGTCCAACAGACAGCGTGTCCTTTGACGTGTTTTTTTCAAGGCGCGAAATTTGATTTTTAAATCGGGATACCATAACATTTTGTATCTTTTGTAATACCCATACACAGGGTGATTCAGTTGTTCTTGCAGTAAAATACGAGTTTTAAATGTTTGACGGCATACTGGTAACAAGCAGAACACATACAAGCAGAACATATACTACTTTATTCAGAAAAACTGAACTGACAAGATGAGAAAATCTGATTCTCATAAATCAATAAAAAGCAATGGGAATAAGGCGTTCATATCCCTGTCATTTTTCTATTTTTTTTTTTATATATATATATAAAATCTTACCAGGGGCGTACTTTTAAAATTTCACTGTGCTGGCAAAGATTCAAAACAATATGGTGAATAAAAAATGGTTTGTTTTAATTGTATTAAAACACGAGACGTGCTTTTTTAATTACCTTCTTCAGATGTTTGATGTAACTGATGTTAGTTTGTGTTAGAAAGAGCAGAAATTTTGAAATTTTAAAGTATAGTTAATTTTTTTAAGGGTGTAAAAGTATTCACTCAACCCAAAATGCACATTTCACAGTTAACTCGACAATTTTCATACATTTTGAATTTTGAATCAATGTGTTTTCCAAAAAAAAATAAAATAAAATGAACGTGAGCATTGACATTTCGCCCAAAACATTGTTTTCTTAAAATGTCACATTATTGTTAATGTATTTTTTTCTTCATTTAACATGTAATTTTGGATCACATCGCCCAGTTAGTTTGTGAATATGTATTTTGTTCACACCTTTAAAAAATCAACTATAGTATATACTCGTATTATAGATGCTTGTTTGCTTGCGGTCTGTTAATTCTTTTTTATAATTTTTATCATAGATCTATACATTTTTGCAAAAAAAAAACAAAATTTTTCAAAAAAAAAATTGAAAAATTATCTTAGAAAATGACTATGTGCTTTCAAATCTTGCAAACGTTTTGAAGTTAACGAAATAGTGGCGAATCGAAAATCAAAATTTATCTACCTCCCCTTCCAAAAATTAGATCTCAAAATTTTACCAAATAAATTATGCTTCAATTTTACAAAATAATATCGACTTGTGGTTTATTAATTTGTTTTTATGATATACATACATCGGATTTTGGATTTTTAGAAAGGAATTCAAAATTAAAAAAATATTTTACCTTAGCACCTCTTAAGGTAAGACTGATTTCGGATGAGATACTCTCTAAGAAACGAGAGAGTGGGCGGGCGGGGCTAGTATTTGCTAAGATAAAACTGATTTTAGCAGGTACTAGCCCCGCCCGCCCACCCTCTCTTTTCTTAGAGGATATCTCATTTGCCAAAATCACTCTTATCCTAACAGGTATTAGCCCCGCCCCCCCGCCCTCTCTTTTCTTAGAGGGTATCTCATTTGCCAAAATCAGTCTTATCCTATCTAGTAGCTGCTAAGATAAAACTGATTTTGGCAAATGCCATACCCTCTAAGAAAATAGAGGACGGGTGGGCGGGGCTAGTTCTTGCTAAGATAAGACTAATTTTGGTAAATGGCATATCCTCTGAGAAAATAGGGGTCAAATCTAAAAAATATTAATGTAATGATAAATCACAAGTAAAAACTCATCATATTGTGCACATTTTGGGTATCTCATTTGCCAAAATCAGTTTTATCTTAGAAGATACTAACCCCATCCACCCGCCCTCTCTTTTCTTAGCGGGTATGTCATTTGCCAAAACCAGTTTTATCTTAGGTAGTACTGATGACTAACTTTTGCAAAAAATGATCAAAATTTAGAAACATTACGAGCTTACAAAATTTTCAACATCTTCTCTAGTGTTTAATTGGTTATGCTTTAATGTATTTTTCTTTTGTTGATTTTGTTTGTGTTTATAATTTATAAAAGTCTTATTAAATGTTTTTTTTTGGTTTATTTATTAATGAAAAATAACAGCTTGTTTTATTAATAATAATGACAACGGTTAATGGCTACTGGTTGTTATGGTTATTGTTTTAAAAAAGGTGGATTTTAGTCACCATCGTTACTAAGAAATCAGAAAGCAATCCGGTATTCACGCATTAGGTGCGTGCAGTGTTGCCAATTTTACTTTTTGAAAACTATGTTTTTTTCGTAATCTACACCATAAAGAACTGTTTTATTTATTTATTTTTTTTTGGGACTCCCGAAACCCCCGTACATAACGTATTGAAGAGTTAATCCGCCAATTTCCAGACACTCGGTATTGAATCAAATTTCATAATATATCTAAGAGACTGATTTTGTTTGGTTGTACTTCAGTGGTTAAGAAAGTTCTAATATATGTATAATAAAAAAATTATTTTTGATAAATTTCTTTAATGAATAATATTACCAACAACTGCAGCATAAAATATAAATGTAAAACCGTACCATAAAACTTATCAACAAAATTATTTGTTCTAATCTGTATTCAAAATTTTGTTGAAGTCTTCGTTGTCGTGGATGGCGTCCAGTAGTTCAAATTTAAACCTAAAGATGACGCTACCGCAAATTTTAAAATTTTTGAGATTCTTAAGGAAACCTTGACTCTATTAAATAACAAATACTCCTACTTGCTAGTTTACGGAAAAAAGTATATTTTAAGCGCTTATTTAAGTAAAACTACTAAATGTTTATAACAACAAAAAACAGCAAAAAACAAAGAAAAACGAACCCATTGAATGAAAAACGGTTTTGTAGCACTCTAAAAAACAGTATATAAATATATGGGTACTAAAAGAATCAAAGTATTGTGGTGTTCTGATTTACAAATTAAATTTCGCACCGCGAACCCGCTTGAAAAATAAAAATTAATTCCAATAATAATATAGGTTGGTTTTATTGTTTTGGTGGTGATTCTAAACACGTGTAATTTCACCAAAGGGCAATTGTTGGAACAAAAATAAATCGCAGTTAAAGCCACGGTTCCCTCCATGAGTGGAATTAGTGAATGATCAGTTTATTAACGATTTTCTAATGTGAAACTGTTAACGAATCCATCAACATATGAATTTTTATTCCAATATGTGTAAATTCACGGTTTATGTCAAAATATTTTAATCGTTCGTGGTTTTATCGAAATGCGTTTCCCCACTTTATTTTGAATTTGACTGTATTTAATATGCGTCTGTTGTATTTATTTGGATTGTGTTTTGTTTTATCTGTACGATGTAATCTTGAAGTCTGAGTTTAATCAATAACTTGAATTAATACATGTAAATCTCTTATTTTTACTGTTCATGTGCATGTTTATCTACAATACCAGATTTCGCCGCTGTGAATCAGGGCGCCTAGCTGGCTGTCTCCTTTTCAAAGAATGAAGGTGAGCCTTAGTAATGCGAGTGTTAATCGCACCTCGCATGTTGGATCTGCGGTTTCTGCAAATGTTTTGCCCTCGCCACACCATCGTAATAACTTCACCATCATGATCCAGTTGGTTTAATTAAGATTTCTCTTTTTCTTTGTGTGTTTAACTTTATTTTTGAAAGCTAAGGAGAGTTGGTTGTATTTGATTTAAGATCTCTTTTCGTCCTTTGGGGTTCATCAGTTTACGTATGAACACATCCCACAAAAAACACACAACGTAACATTCCATTTTGCTGACGATCACAGGAAAACAAGAATTTTTGTAAGTTGTGTTGTAGTTATTGTATCATTATAGTAAAAGCTATAGCTATTTGACGCTCTATTGACTATGACATAAGCAGTAGTACAAATAATGTCAATATTAGTTTAGATTAGTGATTAGTGGTCAGATTAATTCTTTTTTAATAATTTGTTATGTGTATTCTATATAAAGATATAAATAAATTTTTGCCATTTTTTTTGTGGACGTCAATTCTCTCAATTACAACCCCTATGTTTTCTTCACCAACAACTAAGCAGCACAAGTCATTTTATAATAATTGTCACTAACCTACTATTGTGCTGTCCAACCCCTTACAATCAGTCACGATATTTCAGTGGATATAAAAATAGTATTCTGAGGATGCAGTCAATACCTGCTATGTACGACGACTTAACTGTATAGCACATACCTATTTATGGTGTCAATTTGTAGATTTTGCTATGTTTCATCCACATTTTAATAATCGACCCACATGTTAATTAATGTTGGTAACAATGAAATCACTACCAACTTACAATGTAAACAGCAGCAATACGAAAATTGGACACTGCTAAAAATAAGTAAATTTACTACTTTACCTGTAATAGCGAGTTTGCGGTGTTTTATTATAGGAAAGATTACATTATCACCTGTTAACTCTAAGCAGTGTTTTATAAAAAATATACCCTCGCGTAACCCTATAGTCTTGACAGGTATCATCTTTTTTTTGATAAATTGTGATTCTAGTGGATCTTTAATAAATGTGGCAATAATATAGCTACCCTAAACTCAGGACGCGATCTCCTGTTGTGCGCAGGGACACACTTTGTATGAATATATTCCAGAGTGAAACATGTATTTTAAATCACAATACAAAAGTTGTACTAAACTTTAAAATTTCCTAATTAATCATTACTGAATTTATTTATAATATAGATTATTCTCAAAAAATGATAAAAGATTTCATTATGATGAACAGACTTAACGATTTTGATTAAATCAGTGTATTTTGTATGTAAATCATAATTATTAACTTAACCTAAGTTTGTAGTAATGTATTTAAATAATTTGTTACCACTACTAATTTACTGTGTTACTCCCACCACATATGAACCATGCACCTCTTTCTGTTGTTGAAAACATACCTAAATTCCATTTTAACCCTGATGAACTAGCATATGTGGGCGATTTTAAAGGGATCAAAGCACACCACTCATGACTCTGCCTTAAAGCTAATGGAATATGAATAGTATGTGTCCCATCCAACAACAACCACGTAATTGATTTGGAAGCCACTTGAAACACCTTCACTTTCTTCAAAATCTTTGTGGCTTTACAAAGAGTATTAATATTCCCTAATATCTGATCCAGTCTTCCACAAGTATCTGCAATAACATAAACTGCATCTAACTAAAACTTAATATTTAATCTTAATCAAAATAAAAAATCTATCATGTACTTCTAAATCCTGCGAGGCACAAACTTTCCCGACCTCCATTAGAGCCTTGGTGAAATCAGTTTCATTCTGATCAGGCGTTCTCACAACCTTGCAGATATTATTGTTGATAAAATAATCTAAAACGTCCTTTGATAACGAATCCATATCGCCTGTAATGAGATCTGGAGGACTAACTTTATCACTTTCTAAATTATGTAATTTCAGCCATGTAAGCCATTTTTCGGTGCCTCCATCAACTGTGACCCTTAATTTAGCTACAAGAGTGTTTATAATTGATGAAATGATGATTTTTGCGCATACCTTGACTCCATAAGTTTTTTAGAAATGTCACAGGAAGATTGAAATTTGTATTTAAGATAACTACCGCGTAATTTTGATTTTTGCATTTGGAAAACAAGTCTTGACAGGGGTCCCATGTCTCGTTCCTTTCTTGCCGATACATTTTCTGGAAACCGACAAGTTATTATAAAATATTGAGAAATGTGTGGCTTACTAATAAACTATTACACATAGTGGTGATTTTCTTTAAACATTTTCGAATTGTTGAGTAAATATAACCTAAAAAAACGGGAAACATTTGACAGTTGACGGATTAACACGTGGTGCACTCAACGTGACAATAAAAATCAAACTTAAAAAATTAAAGATAACTAACTAAAAATCGACGTGTTTTAAGCGAAATATGAAAAAATATGCAAAACGCTGGACTCACCTGTTGCGCTAATGAAAAGTGAAAATGGTATTATTTTGTATTGGAGTAAACTGATTAGATAAATTGGAAGAGACTAATTAAGTCCCACTTTTATCAGCCAAATAAATAACATGGACGAAATATCAAAAAAATGATCGTAAAAATTCGATAAGTTATTAAACAATTTCCGTTAATCTTAAACGTACTTGAAAGTGACGACAATGATTACTGAACCATTTTTTCTTCGAGTTTAATCGGCCGATGTAATTAAAATGTACACTGGCATTATACAATCTATTCATGATTATACACACTACATGATAAGTATATTACCTTTTAAAAACAATAACCTTGTGATAACCCAAACTTCCCGCCTTAAAGATTGACCTTGAAACAGTTTGAAAGGCCCGCGAAAAATTCAAAAATTCAAAGTTTGGCCTTGGCTGTGATCGTCTAACAAATGAGAACCTACGTTGTGTGTTTTTTTTTTTGTTTTGAAAAATGGCGGGAAGAAGTTCTTTCATACAAGTGCATACACTGTCGAGAGCGCAAGAAATAATTAACAGAAATTGTTTTGGAGGGGGGGAAACGGCACCACCCTCACAGGGGGAAATACGCTGCGAAGATTTACCCCTCAGCGCAAAAACCCCCTTGGTTTTATTCCCGGACGACATTTTATTACTTTTCAAAACCCTTAAGATATGTGAAAGAAAAACACTCGCGAATTGACAGACCTACACATATGAAAACCGAACAAACACAAGACCTACACATATGTAAATTGGATGGCAGAAACCGAATCATTATGAGAGTGTGGCGATCGAACAAACATAGAACAAAATATATCAATTTCATTTACGAGCACAGCAAAATACCCAGAGGGGGCGTTGTAGCGCAAGTGGAGGTTGGGACTCCTGATCGTCACTGTTCTCCCTCACGACGGTGATTCTATCTACACCAAAGCCTGCTCACACGCACATCTCCATTACGAACGTGCCCTGCGAAACGAGGCGGTTACGATCGCAGATCCGTAGTGGGGTCCCGGCTATCACGAAACCGGCAGCGTTAAAAACCCGCGACCGCCCCCTGAAGCTATACAAAACCCGCGGACTTGTGCAGGTGACGCGATTAATCCCGTCAGTTTGAGAAGAAGTCGCGCGCCCCACGTACACTACGAGTTATGTGTTATTTACCTTCAATTTCATTTAAATGTTCAATCTCTATGACTCTAATATTAAATGACAACCGAACAAGTGTTAAAATTTCAACAAAGAACAATACACAACATTTAAATTCGCCACACACTCTTACGAAAATTCAACAACAAATAATTCTTAATTGAGATTAAATTTGGACATCAGATAATTTATATGAGAGAAACATTCATCAACAAAACATTTACATGATCAAAACTTAGCAAAGATTTATAAACAAAGATCTGGTGTGAAATAAACTTGTGCAAATAAAATACCATGTTAGGTCAAAACTGTAGAGCATGGAAATTTACGTTCAATTCAAATGATACAGCAAAGAAAATTACTGAAGCTAAAATTGTGAGACAAAGACAAATTGCATGAGGTGAAAGATTGTAAAGTTAACAGATTTACATGTGATTAATATTAATTCGTGTCCAGTCAAGTTATTGGTTAAAATTCAAACGTGAAATTATTTAGCTGCATTGTGGGCCATTATTACACATACATTTCCCCCAAACAAAACACATAAACAAACATGGCAGACAATCTGCAGTTGCAAAATGGCGTTGGACGAATTCGTCATTCCAAATAATAGGCGTCGAAAATATGCGATGCAAAAATACGATGAATCCTGTGGCGTTGTATAAACGATGTGCTAAATAAAAGGAATAAAAGGCACGTCCCCCCATGACCCACAATGTTTGTTAATTTGTGCAATAGGTTCAGTTAAAACATGTGCTCGGTTAAAAGAAAGAAAATGGACGCTTCAAAATGGCTGCTGCCTGAACAAAGAACGGTGAAAATAACAACTCGTTTGCCGCCATCCAAAATACAGATTTCACAAATATAGCTAAATAAAGCATGGCCCGAACTAGAAATCACTTCCTGTAAAGCCCTACTGCGATGGATTTTAAATGAAAGATAAAAAAACGAGATTAGTGGAAAAAACAAGCGCACGCGTCGCTGTGACACGAGGTCAGAAGTATCGTCGGGACTTGAAACTCGCCGCAAACAGGTGTTCAAAACATACCTCTCCAAAGATGCGAAGATTTAGACACGGCTTACCGCCAACAGGAACACAAAAACCTCGTCGTAAGAACGATGAGAAGTCAGGAACACCCAATGGCTCAACGGTGGCTGCTAGGTTTTCCAATGGAACTGGATCAACACTGGAAAAACAAAACACAACAGCAAAAGGCACAGAATAATTCACAATCAAAAATACAACCTGTTGCTCGAAGCGCTCGAAAAGAAATCGACCGTTTGTTCCAAGCGGTCAGAGAGAAGTGGGTGATCTGACACGAGACAAAAACACCCTAACATTTGCGCATGTCTGTTTCTTTGGGGTTGGTTGCCAACCTTCTTTTCTTCTTCTCACCAACTGTTTCTTGCGCGCGCGAAATTCATTTGAAATTTAAAATTCGAATTGGATCCTTACAACCTAGAATTTGGATTACGTACAACGAATGAGCGCTTTCTGAGTTTTTACATGAACTTGGAACTTCAATTAAACTGATGTTATTAGTGTGGTCACAGAAATAATTTGCCACAACCATCATGCGAATATATAAATGCGGGTAATTCCATCTTTTGACCAAGATTTTGGATTTTCCTACAATTTTGCACAAGCATAAGCTACAATCAGAGACGATCCTAGATATTTAACATATTATAAAACCTTCATTTTATTATCTTCGTAATAATTTTATACACTAGTATTCTGTATTACTATAGGGCTATAAATAAATTCAAACTGGTATTTAAAAAAAAACAGTAATTCTTGCTACGTCGTAGATAAATGCACATGCATTAACATATAATGTGAATAAAACTGTAGACTTAGGTTTTGCTCTTCTTCCTTTTAAAATGGTAAAATATTGTTCCTAAAAAATCAGTGTAATTCATGGTAGGTAGGTATTTTATATTCAGAAGAAAAAATTTTTAAATTATATAGTCGTTCCTCAACCATATAGTCTTATAGTCTATCTCAGGTAGTTTTTTATTTATTTTAATTTAGTTAATACACTGAACGCTCAAAGTAAAGGAACATCAAGAAGGAATCAAGACTTTGTAATGAAATTTTAACTACAGGTTAAGAGTTGTCAAACGAAGAACTGATTAGATTTTCAATTTTACCTAGCGGTCTAGTATTTGTAAGAAAACGAATTTTTTGCTTGTACGTTGAAGAAGTACATCCCCTGGCACATCGTAACACTGACCTCATACAGTCATCAATAATGTCTTCCTGATATCGAGGTAATATGATTATAACATTATTCTAAGGTATCTCCTTGCTTCCTGGGTCTTTAGATAGCTAACCCTGTGTCATCTCTACACTTCGTCCAGAAGTCCTTCCCTTTATTTGGGCAACGATAACAGCACTAACAAAAGTAATAAGTTGATAACGTAAGAATTCTTATAAAGATATAACAAGAGCTGAAAATTTTCTTCTAGATTATTTTCAAAAATACTTTTTACTTCCCGAGCGTAAGCGAAGGAAGTATTTTACAATACTTCCGACGGACTCGATTACTCAAGTCCCGACCCTCTACTTTTACGTTTTGTCGACCTTTCATGACACCTACAGTACGAACAAATAAGTCTTCCGCTTCCGTCTGTCTGTCCGTCTGTCTGTCTGCCGTCCCGGATTTTTATTAGACAGATATAATCTCCGAAAGTAGTGAGCCGATTGCTGTCAAATTTTATATTTATATTAGGACACATGTAGTTCTAAACTCCGAAAAGAGTTTTTACCCGAAACGTCCAGATTTTTGGAAAAAAAGTCAAAATTATACAACATTTTGCAATTTAATTTTGAATCTGCAAAACCGAATGCTTTGAGATCTTGGAGATGCTTTAAAGTTATCATAAGGATGGTAAATTTTTGATCAAAATGTATTTGCTCATCCCCCCTAAAACTTTAATGACGTCGCCTCAAATTTTTTCTGAAAAAATCCTGTCTTAAATGTGCAAAGTATGATGATTGATGAGTCAATATTTGTGTTTTATCACTGCATTAATATTTTTTAGATTTGCTTATACGGGGCCCCCAAAAAAAAAATAATGACTGAGTCAATTTATTTTATTGTTTAGGCACATCAAAAATTGCAAAACTGAATACTTTTAAATCCTGTAGCCGTTTTGAAGTTATTGTAAGCATGGTAACTTTTTAATCAAAATATATCCCTGTATCAACCCCAAAAAATTGATGACGTCGTCTAAAATTTTACCGAATAAATCCTACCTAAAATTGCAAAATATGATCAATCTATACTTGTAATTTATCATTGCAACTTATTTTATTGAATAAATCAATACTTTGAAATCTTGCAGACGTGTTAAAATTATCGAAAGCCTGATAAATTGTTAATCAAAATATATCTGTTTATTCCCCCAAAAAAATTGATGTCGCTGTTGTTGTAAACAGTATTTTTCATCATTTGATTATAATCTTGGCAATTAATAAAAGTTTTCACACGAAAACAATGCCGTTAACTCTTAACAGACGTTTCTCAAATTGTTGCTCTAATCGAGGATGGTCGTCGTCAGCGCTATGTATATTTCCAGGGCGGCCGGTTTTTTTTTGCCGGTCAGTGTATAAACATAAATAAACACTTGTCCATCAGGTTGTTATTACCTGGTGCTGAAGGACAAGGGTTGTTAGAAATTGATTATTTGAAGTTTAACATGGTAAATCATCAGAATCTAACAACGGACCGTCAGTCAGTAGCGTAACATGCACACTTCAGAAGGGGCTAGTTTTTAAATTAATTTTTTTTTAATCGCAACAATAACACACGGAAACATAACCTTAAGTGAACTGGTCAACACGCTACCACGAATGCGGATGAATCTATTAGGCACTAATCTAAACAGGTACACATACCCATCGCAGGTAGAAAAGTTCTCTATGACAGAGAAAGATGACGGAGACGGATGCCTCTGAGGGTGCACCCATTCGAAAATGCTGGATATGTTTCTTTGTACTTCATTTTCATTGTCAAATATGTGAGCTAAATTTTTTAAATCCTCGAAAAATTCAAAATTTGGTCTTGAACTGTGCACCGTCAACTAATTCCCTAGACAAGCTCCCCCAACTGAAATTGAACTGTTTAACGATTTTTCAAATTCAAATTATTTAAATGTGGTTTCAAGACATTTTTTTTTAGCGAGAAATTTTGAATTCAGATTGGAATACCACACTAGCTATGGTTGATAATAATAATTATATATATAAAAAAAAAAAAACAATACAACTCAGGTTTATGTTTTCCGAGACAATTCGAAAGTTACTGCTGATCATTAAAACCTTATAATCATTAGCTAATTTTTTCGTCTTTGCCAAACAGAAGTTTTATAAACAACAACGAAATATAAAGTTATATGTGTTACGACTGATCATCAGGACTTTTTTATTTGCACTGTCCTATTTTCCACACTAATGCGACAATATCTTATTAATACTGCTTTCGTATGTTTCCAACAAGCAGGTTGTAAACTTGTAAACTTTCCGATCTCGTTATCCAGATGATTTGTTTCTTCTTTTTACATTTATCTGGTTCTGGTATTTACAGATATTATTTCCGGGATACGGATGAGGTATTAGCAATAGCAAGGGAAATCAAACTCATTTATTTAAAGTAGTCTTACGTGTGAAATTGGATAATTGATGAGTTTTCTTGATTTTTGCTTTTCGAAGCATATGCGAAAAGGCTGCTGTCATCTCTTTTGTGTGTTTTTTTTCAGTTTTTTTTTTAATTCTCTTTCCCCGTGTTATGACTATGAACCGATCAGAGTTCGTGTTTCTCTCTTGTAGAGATTTTCATAAAAATGATATAAAAAATTAATAACTATAGGTGAGAGATTCCTAATATTCTAATAGTAAATCGTAAAATAGTTAGATATATCTATTATTTTGTATTTTAATTTTACGTGTTGTTTAAATTATTACTTTACCAGCCCTAGATCGGCGATATTTAAACATTCACTCACTACCTACCGATTTTGTATTATTATTTTTAGATTAACTGGTTCAGTTTGTTGTAACCAAAGAGAGTTGAAACCACATATTTTTATATTATTATACCAATCTACGTTTTGTCACCAAAAATTATGTTACTACAAAAATTTTAATTGGTGAAGTAAATCCTACACGTATAATTTAGCATTTTGTAAAAGCAAACCGAATTTTATAAGCAAAAGTTGTGATTAAAAAAATCTACCTACCTATTGTTAACACCGACACGGTAATTAGTTGCATTCACAACGTCACCTACTTTACTCCTATAGAGTAAAGATAGATATATACCTATAAATTCTGCAAATACCATTGTTTTTAGCTTGAAAGTAGAAGCTTAATTTAGTACAGTGCAAATACGGCACATAGGTATGCGGCGTCGATATAAAATGCAACGTATATTTTTTAACGGATTTTGATAAGCCATTAAAATGCGATGCCCATGATATACGATACTTAGGTAATTATTTCATTTTCAGGTGATAAAAAAATGATAGTTAAGTGAAATAAAGAACTACCACCATTTTACGACAGTTCGAAAATATGTTAAAATAACTGCTTATAAAAGAGATAAAAGAAACCCTGTTGATTATAAAATAAAGTCTGAGTCTGAGTGCTTTATATCAGTAAACATTCATTTTTTTATCAAATGAAAGTGAAATATATATCTATGTAAGTGTAGTATATCATTATAATCGTAATTTAATGGTCTAGCAAAATGCATTAAAAAAATATCGCTACATAGCAATTTAAAAAATTGATCGAAGGTAATTTCAAGAGAACTTACCTCGTCACTAAAGTACAATAAATCATATCAACTTTTTTCGAAAAATGACAAAATTTGATTTTGCGAATTTTATATTTTTTTGAGAACCCCTATAACTTAAAATAAAGATAT